TGCTCATCCCTGTCTCCGAGCTGTAGAACCAGCATTTGTCCATAGACAGTTTCCGTGGTCACATGGCCAGCACGACTAGACACAGAATGCCGTTACCTTCCCACCGTGGTGCTACCTATTTATCTACTTGCATTTTTACATGCTTTCGAACTGCTAGGTTGGCAGGAGCTGGGACAAGTGACAGGAGCTCACTCCGTTACGTGGATTCAATCTTATGACTGCTGGTCTTCTGACCTTGTAGCACAGAGGCCTCTGTGGTTTAACCCACATCCCTGATAATCGACACTGATAAAACCACTCCTTAAATATCTTACTTACCTTGAAAGCCCTATTAGGGTTGCTATGAGTTGGTTCCAACTTGACAGCACATAGCATAAGAGCATTATTCATGAAGAGCATTAAACTGACACCAGTCTCAGTTCTCCAAATACCAGTTCTTACACAAATAGCAAACTGGCATTGTCCACACGGAAAAAGGGACTAGCTCCAAGGTTAAACAGATGATCTTAATCCATAAGAAAAAAGAGCAGATCAACAGACCTTGCCCCAGTTCTCTCTTTGGCTAATGTAGTTGTGCAATCCACCCAAGACAGAATGATGGAGAGGTATTTGAAAACATAGAATGAAAATGATCTGTCTCGCTGTCTGTCTGTCTGTTTGTCTATCTATCTGATTATCAATCATACAAGAATGTGTATTAAATAAACAAGACCAAGGAAAGCCAAGCTCATACCATACCATTTTACTTTTCTCAAAATGCCTTCAAGTTTTATCAAAACTGGTTGTACCCTATGGAGAATACCATGTAGACCAGCGGGAAACTGCCTTCTCATCAGTTTCATGAAGTACACCCAAGGTCTCTAGAGAAATACTGCTTTGTTGTTTACTTTTGTTGGATATAAGCACAAGAAAGGAAGAAGGAACACAATACAGCTTTAAATGCCAACTTCATCTATTCATAAATAGCAGCAGGAAATCACAATTCTCACATCAAGAGCAAACGAATATCTTGGGCACATATTCACTATACCCTGTGATTGAATAAAGCATATAGGAAACCAAGCTGAATGACCTCCTATTTTTCAGTGACAATATAAATAGACCATATCAACTATTGTGGAATTGCACTGTGATTTCAAAGAAATTGTGATTGCCTGATATGCATGTTGTAACATTTGGAAAAATAATAATAAAACAAGGGCACAATATATGGAATTAGCTATGTTGGAGGAAGGCAGAGTAATTCATGGGGATTTTGAGGAGGAAAATGGTTCCTGTCTAAGGTGTTTACTAAAGATGATTGCCAACAATTTGGCTTATTTAAAATAAATGCCTCTCTTTCTTGACCTCTTAGCTACACACAGTTTTCCTCTTTGGTCATTCTGTCTCATGGGTTGTTTATTTGTTTGTTCCACCACTCAAGTTCCACTTTCTGAGAGCTGAACATCGGGTTTATATCGAGAGGATATGCATGCATCCTTCTCCACGCAAACAGGCATGGATTAGTCTCTTTCTGATCTGACTGCCTGGGGTCTCTGTGCATCTGCAGGCAAGATCTGGGCCAAGAAGACAGAGCTGTGGTTGTCAATTGTGTTTCTATTCCTCTCTCCAGGTTCTACATCCCTCTGTCTGATGGATTTGGGTATCTGTACCTGAAGGTGGGTGTCCAGAGTAGAATAGGACTTCTGATGATGCAGTGCCCACCCTGCTAAACAACAGCCTCCCTTCCTAAGCTCACCAACCTGGTGTCAAGGATGGCACTGGAGTCACCTTGATATGTTGCACACTAGGACTTTAACATCCACACCAAGACAGACTTATCAAGAGCGGCCCAAGACCTGGTATCTTCTATGACAGCTATGGACCTGTCCCAAGTGATAACTGCCTTGCTCTTGATTTAGGACATACACTGGAACTGTCTTCTGTGTTGGGTGGGATGCTGGTGATCTGGGTGTGGAGGAACTTTCTGTAGTGGTTGTTGTATGTTTTTCGGGCTCTTTGGCCGTGTTCTGAACATGGCCAAAGAGCCCGAAAAACCCACAACAACCATTAGATCCCGGCCGTGAAAGGCTTCGCAAAAACTTTCTGTAGCTTTGTTTCATGGACAGACCATTACCTGGTAGAATTTAGATTCACTGGAACTTAGAGCCTTTGCAGGGGTGGAGGACTGATTGAGATGGTCATCCCCAGGAGGCTGATGGGTTCAGATGCTTCCAGATGGTGCTTTGGGAATTTATTGTTGTCTCAGCGGGTAATCCTGTCAAAGCCCTCGTTGACCACTGGAATGGGGAAATGGCCAGGGGCTATAAATAATCACTCTTAAACATTTGTTCCCACGGATTGAGCCAAATTTGTCCATACTATAGGATATAGTGATGAAATTACTGGAACAGAGAGAAATTACTGGAACAGAGAGTGCTGATGGTGGAAAATGTGGAGCAGGTCTGCCCAAACACAGGCTAGAATCCAAAGGAAGGCCTGCTCCTTGGCAGTGGTGGTTGTGAAGTTCTTTTCCGTCACTACTGTGTCTCCAAAAAGTTCTCCAGCAGGGCTGTTTTGAGTGGCCAAAGGCCTATTGCACTGGGACCCATAAGAAGAGAATGTGGACCACTCATCAGCCCTCTGTGAATAATATGCTTGACCCTTTGCAGATAAAATTACTGAGAATTGCTGTGGCTTGGAAGCTGTGTTTGACACGAGTCCTGAAGATGTTTCAATGAGGCTATGGCATCCCCCAAGACTCCATCAATTAGGATGCCACTTCCTAATCATACACTGAGATTCCAGTCCATGGATCTGGCACTGTTAAACTCAAGCAGACACCCAGCGTGCTCCTTCACATTCCTATCTAAACAACTCAGGATCCTGGGACTCTTTCTTCACCCTCTATTTCACTCTGTGGAAGGATTTTAATTCAGTCTTCTGTTCAGACCCTGAAGGTTTCCATTTGTACACTTGAAACTGGTGTTCTAGCTACTTGCCTTTGGAACAGTCTGCCCCCAGAGATCTGTCTGGCTCTCTCGCTGGGTGTTTTTAAGAGTAAACTTAGGCAGGCTTTACCTCCTGTCACTACTTGAATATTTTTCCCATCTTGAAATATATTACTACTGTTGTTTTTTATTTTATTATATTGTTTTTATTCCATTTTTTATTGTTAGCCATCCAGAGTAGACTTCGGTCTAGATGGGTGGGGCATACATTTAATAAATAAACAAATAAAGCACCTGGCGAGGACATGATCCCGCCAGAGGTGTATAAGAACAACCCGGAATGGTGGGCCCCAGTCCTAGCAGTTTATAATATCTCTTAAACCTCCAGTGATATGGCATCTGCTTTACTTTTGGTTTACGTTCAGCGTGTCAGATTTGGTGCAACCTGAACTGCAATAAAAACAAAGGTAACATTCACACCAATTTAACTATGAGCAAGGTATTGTTTCACACATGTCAGTTATCAGGAGTAAAATATTTCCTTTCTATTTTGGAGGAGTTATTACTGTCAAATAAATGTTTAGATGGAATAGTAACTAAGGTTCCAAACACTTAATCAAATTCCATTCTGCAAGAAACCTCTAGTTTATGAATGTGGGATATTGTGCTTCTGTATCCATGATTCAAAATGCCAGGAAATGTCCCAATACTGCTGCACAATATTTTGCCTATATTGCCAACAGGAGAAAGGATGCCAAGCTTCATGTAGCAAAGGGCAGCCTGAATGTTGACAGCACCAATGGCAGCAGTGAAGATGGTCTACAGGAGTGGTTCTCTACCTTGGAGCCACAGATGGACTAGAACACCCAGAAGCCTTTACCACTAGCTCTGCTGGTCAGGCTTTGTGGGAGCTGTGGTCCAAAAACATCACAGGAACAAGGTTTGGAACCATTGGTCTACAGAATACCCTCTTGTGCTCACTACCATTCACAAAAGACACCAAGCAAGGGAAAATCCCAGAAGCTTACCTCTTTTTTCATGTTAACTACTTCTCACCTAAACACAAAACAATTGTCACAGCTGTTTTTTTAAAATAAATAAATAAGTGTGTCCTAATCTTATAACAAAGTGGTTGTTTTCCCCCTTTGAAATACCTCACTTGAGGAGCACTATTTTAGCCCCTGTGGTTTGGATTTTTTCAATTTTTTAAAAAAGTGGGTAGGACCAAATATTCTCTTTCAAGATAAGCAAGACTGGTCTTTTCAGTTTTTATGAACTATTTTGGCGACACTTAGAATGTCTTGTTTCTGTAGGGGGAAAACCATTTTGCTTAAAAAAAATTTAAGCTCAAAAACGTTTTGTCCAAACATCTCCAAATTTGGCCTAGAGCAAGAGCCACTTGTTCAGTACATCTGTGCCAAATTTGGTGCCATTTTGAAGTTATATTTTTTTGTTCAGGTGTCCCCCCCCCCCTTTAAGAATTGCCTTGTAGAATGTTTTGCTGTGCTGCGCAATAACATAGCTGCACTAATGTGCAGGTGTAATACCTATGTAAGATCCATCAATTCACCGCAAATATGTATAACTGATGGCCAGGTTGTTTTTTATTCATAGGAGCAATGGTTATAAGCTACTGTGAAGAGTTAGTAATTGATCTGTTGGGTACCTTCTAATTGTTAGCGTGCTACGAAGAGTCGGCGACAACTTGACGACAGATGCCAACTGCTGTCTTAGATGGCAAATATATGAGGGTCCCTAAACATCTAAGGCTGTGCATCTGTGGATCAGGTGAGATAGAGGATGTTCTCCATTATTTACTCTACTGTCAGCTATATCAGAACCCCCGAGAAAAGCTCCTGGGTAACATTTTGGCTGCTCTACAGGAGGAAAGCCCTCAGATAGTCTGGTTACTCTTGGACTGTGACTCTTATGTTACACATAGAACAGCGCTGTTCGCAAAGGCGGCCAGAAATAACCGAGCTAATTTTCTGAAAGCCATTGCTATCAATTGTGTGGGAGATTCCCAGATATGAAGGGTCTCTTATTATTTTACATGCCTTTGATTTTATCATGATTATACTTGACCATTTCTGTATTTAAAACAATTGCGACGGTTTTTATCATGTTTTTATCTGGCCATTTCTGTATTCAATAATTGTGAGGGCTTTTAGCTAATACAATAAACTTGATCTGAAGAACAAATAATAATAATAATTACTCATATCCATTGAAAGGTCTGATCTGGCCACAGTGACGTTTGTCTTAGTTACACCCCGTTTGCACTACTGTAATGTGTTCTACCTGTCTCTTGGGTGGGTCAGTGAGTTGGTGGCTAAAATATTCTGTGCTACAGTCTGTTGCACAAATACATTGACACAATGACATCTAGGCCATAGAAAGCCACTTCTAGACAGTGCAAAAATCCCAATCTAGCTAGACCAAAACAACATCTTCCTATGTTCCTATTTTCACTCCCCTGTACAAATCCCTCTATCAACTTCTGTTTCTTGGGTTTTCCTGATTTCATGTTCAATTGCTTTCTATAGGTTTTGGCCTCATCCTTTTCCTAAACCTTTCTTCACTGCCCTTACCATAAATCAGAGCAGGGTTGATCACCCTGTTCTTCTGTAAAGTGCTAGGAGAGCTTAGATGTTCACTGCCAGAGATTTCATTATCACCTTGCGGACCACAAAATCTCTCAGTGCATTATGATATAGCAGTGAACTTTGAGTAATTAACAGTTGCATGCATAGACTTCATTAAAACTTACTTATTACTTTTTTCTTTATGTAAGAGTGAACAATAACAGTAATTACAGTTCAGTATATTGTATGTTCAACTAACCCTTTAATATTCTAAACATTGATAGTGGGATTGACATCTAAATGAGCTCAGGATTTGCTGTGTCCCAAAAACTTAATTGTTTTCCCCAAAACATCAGGCCTTGAAGTAGGATCCAATTGTTTGACTAATTTGGTTGTCATAGATAAGTAGCGAGCAAATAAGTATGAGTTTTGACACTACATTAAAACTTGCGCTTATCAAAATGCATCATGTCTCATGCTACAACATAAAGTACATCAGTATTGTTGCACCGTTGTTCAAAGATGCCATGAATAATTAATACTATCAGCTGCTTGTCAATGAATGCAGTCATCTCATGAGATGCTATGCATCATATCCATATGTTGATATTTTCCCTTAGTTTTCCAAACTGAGAAAAGAAATCTCTCTCAGACAAGACAGAGGAGATGAGAGATGTTGGCAAGGTGCTGGAAGACATAGGTATGAAGTGGATCCTGATTTGGATGGACTTTCCATACCTTCCTCACCACAACAACCTCTCCAGCTTTCTAAAAATAAGACAAGGCAGGCTAGTAGACAGTACAGAATGGGGTAAACCACTGTGCAGGAGGAAGGAGATATCCAAATAATGCAGAGCCCCTTCTGCCAATGGAAGGCAGATCCTGGATCCAACCTACCTGTGTGCAGCACTCCCTGAAGCTAACCTGCTGATCTCGGGTGTGGTGAAGGAACTCTTTGTCATGATTTAACTGCCAGAGGATTCAGTTTCTATCCATGCAACTGGGAGGAGAGACATTTTTCAGTCTTAAAATGTTTGGGGCAGCCCAATGTACAATATGAGATGCTCTTGTGTGGCACCAACTTGATGAAAAGGAGATGGTATGGTTGTAATGAAGATGGAAATCTAGGTGACTTGGTGTGAGAAGGTCACCTCAAGTGCCCCAGTTGGCTGTCTGACCCTGTCCTACAACCCAAGGGGAGCCTAGGATAAAGCGAATCTCCCATTCCCTTAGTTGTCAGGGATGCACTGCAGGAGGTGGAGGAAGGGCCGCTGCCTAATGCAGGACAGCTGGAAAAAGGTGTGATTATGGGAATAAGATGGTGGAAGTTGCAGGGCTCATGGTTGTTGTCAACCACATCAGATAAAGGGGAGATGTGGGAGGAGGCAGTGCAGCTCTGGAATTTTTGATGGGAATTTCAGGAGGAGGGTCTGGCAGGACGCATGCTTGCCTTTTTTGATTATTTTAATATGCATTGCAGTTGACAGAGTGTAAACCAAGGATGGTCCTACAGATGTTGTAGAATGTCAGCTCACAGTTAGGGATGAAAATGTGCATTTGCCCTTTCTTGCATACAAGTGTAAAGGGTGAGGAAAATTATTTTCCTAATCCTGTTGGACAGAGAGGTATTTTGTAATGTTCTTGACAAAAGAAGAGAGTGAAGATAGGAATTTTATGTCTTAGTTTTGGCAAATTCTGCGAAACAGCAACCAGAAAGCTTTAAGCCAGATAATGCTTATGACAACTCATGCAAGGAACTAATATGGTGATGGCTGCTGCTTTGTTGCCTGGACTTTGTAAGGATTAGAAGACTCAGAGGGAATATTTGCATCCCCCCCCCTTTTAAATAGGCCACAAGTTGTCCAGGGCTTGCCATACACGTGTCTTGTTTTTCAACAGAAAAGGACAGTAGCTTGCACAGAGAGCATTTGCACAAATGATGGACATATTGACATGAAAATGTAGGACACCTGTTATGTTAGGATTCTCCTGGGATGTTAAAATTTCATGTTCTGTCTTGTCAAGATAGGTTAACTGGATGAAAACAAAGAATTCGTTTATATAGAGTAGATTGTATATTTTACAACACTCTACTCTCAGCGTGGCTCTCCATTGGCTATGCTGGTTAGGCTGTTGGGAACTGCCAGCCAACAAAATCTGGTGGGCACCAGTTTACCCACCCTGGCTGTAAGGGATATCTTTTTCCAACCTATTAGTCAGATCATGTTGATGCAGAACACATGCCATAAAGCCTGGAGTTGGACCTTATTTTACTGTCTTCCAGCATTTCTCTTGCAGAAAACTCACGTAAGCAACAATGTTGTTGAAAATTTCTATGTATATAGCTATTATCTGTGGGACAAGATCTGCCAAAAAAGGGTGTGCTTCAAAGACTGCTTTGAAAAAAGTGTGTTCAAGGTAATACTCACACCTGTGAGTTCATGAAACACTTTTTTCTTCACTGTATTTCAGCAAAATGGCTACAAATGTTTTAGAAAGGTCATTTCTCCATATGGCCTCTATGAAATGTTTCTCATTAAATTTTGATACTTTATCCTGTGTTGTTCTGTCTATCTATCCATTTGTGTGTGATTATAGATTAGTGATGCCATGCTTCCAGCAAATATCTGTCCTCTTATGTCTCATAATCACATTGGCATAACTTGAGGAAGGAAGAGCAACATGGTTGAAGCCACGGTTTCCATATAATATTGCCCAGGGAAAGCTGGTTGGGAACAGCAGGCAGTGACTTGGTATGGTTGTTCACTGCTTGCTGAATGACTTGAAGGATTTCATAGAAGCGACTCTCTGTTTCTGGAGTTAGTGGATTTTTTTCTTCTGGGTCTTTGGAGAGATCGAAAAGTAACGGTGGGTCATGATGCACAACAAAGCCTCCGTGACAAAAGCAGACATGAGAGTGAAAGCAACCATTGGACTCTTCAGGACTGAACCTCGGAGTGAAGAAAAAAGCCTTCCAAATCGATTCACCTGTAAATATGGACAAAACCACAGTTGAGAACATATTCAGAATTGTAAACAAAAAACAAAAAACAAAAGTGTATGTGCACCCATATGTTACGTGACTGTTTAAGCAGTTTATTACACATCCGCCAGAATCCCACTGGTGTTTGTGAAAGATCTGTGTCAATTTGCTATGGCTAACTGCAGCTAAGGTACTGGAGCACATTTCAGCTGTGCTGTCACATGTGTGCCCAGAACACAGCCGAGTGACACATCAGTAAGCTGTCATTACCACAACAAGGTAAGCAGATTTTATGCAAAAACCAGTACATTAGATTAACTACATAATTTCTATAGTTCGGAACATGAAGCAATGAAATGTTATTCTGGCAAATATCTAATTCTTGATACTAATTCTTGAGGATCTTGTGCTTCAAAAGATTCAACAGATGTGGCTGTACAGCAGCCTCTTGGTTTCCAGATGTATTGTTTAAAACAGTCCTTCCCAACCTTGGTTCTTTGACTACAACTCCCAGAAATTCCAGCCAGCACAGCTTTTGGGAGTTTTAGCCCATCAACATTTGTGGACTCAAGGTTGGAAACCACTGGTTTAAAAAAATTGACTCTGATTCTGCAAGAACATCTACTGAGCCTCGCTCCCAAGTCTTTCTGAATTTGCGCTCCTGAATAACACAGTTGGGAAAGTACAGAAGCATCTTTAGGGAAGGCCTCTCTTGAGACTGTTGACTCATGACACCTTCCAAGTGTATGCCATATACTGTATATGCAGAAAGTTTTCTTTTTTACTTAGCACTTTGGAGTGCACTGGCATGAGTTGCCAGGTGGTTAAACAAAGTCCTGTTCTGTACTCCGCATGTAATGTGACTACATGGAGTGAACAGATTTAAACTGATGGTGCCGGTACTCATAATGGGAAAGTCAAATACAAACCAAATCAATGTGTAAACGAAAATGAAGTTATCCTTGACTGCCAGGCTCTTCAGAATTTTCTGATGGATTCTATTCTCCAATCAAAAATCCTTCCACTGGGGGAAAATGGCCATAATGGCTAGGGGAGCTGTAGTTAAAAAAAGTTATGTGAAAATTGCCTAGCTTTGCTGAGAAGAGAATGAGATAACCATGTCCAAAGCAAAACATATCAAAATGCAGCAAAATGCATGAGGCATCTTCTGACATACAGTACATCTCGGCTCACAGAATGAGACCAGGGAAAGTTATTCAGTGACAAACTGACAGAGCTTGGACATTTTTAGTTGACTTTCACTGCACTTGCACTCAATAATCAAGGTCCTGTGGGGGTGAAAGAGCTTTAGGAGAGGAGGGGAACAAAAGCCCTCAGGATGTAGCTTGAATCTCCAAAATGCAAAGAAACTCCTTGGCTGAATTGCCTGGACAGCCAAGAAATCACACTTCCACTGTCCTAAGGGGACACTAACCATAACCACAGCTATCGACATATTTACAGGGTGCCTTGCTGGAACAAATGTAACTAGCACTTTCAACTCCTCTCCTTTTCTGAAAGAGTATGTTTACTGTCAGGACGTTTGTCAAGACATTTTTTGGTAAAGTGCTTTCTTTAGGAGAGGAGTTGCTTATTAACCCTTGCTACCCCCTTGGAGTCACCTGTCTGATACACAGCATTTACATTTTCTTCAAATTATAACGGAAATTTCAGTGACAGCCCTGCTTGTATACTATTTGTTTGCATCAACTTTAAACCAGCACAATGTTTGGAGGACAAATAAAACAGATACAAGAAAAATCTATCCATATATACCTTAGTTTAAATATCTTTCTTTTCCTCCAAATATCCTGTTAAAGAAAGATAGGGAGCCTTTGAAATTAGGGATGTGCATTTGGTGAATATTTCCAAATATTCAGAATTCATCAAACAGTTTATAAATCTGAATATGAATTTGATAGTTCTGAATATGGGCATGCCATGATTTGGCACTGGAGACTTCCACTGGTGTGGCTGCTCCTCTGGGCATAGAAGAGTAGGACATTGTGAGTCAACTGGTATATGTCTTCCAAAGCTTTGAGGTCCCTTAGCTATCCTTAACCAGGTAATCTCAATGTTCCAAGACTTGGTTGGCATGATGGAGGGCATAATGAGTGGACAGTCTGGGTGGACGGGGGATTCTATAGAGGGAGAACAGCCTGAAGTCGTGAACCTGGTAAGAAAGCTAAGGGACCTGCTCCACTACTGGTTTGCCTCCTTGGGGGAAAAGGAGTATGTTCTAGCAATTCTCTTGGGCTCTTGAATTAAACAGCAGGCAATGGATCTTAAGCAGCAGCAAGTGGGTGTGGGCAATGCCAACCAACTTTCCAGTACATGCAGTGAAGATGGCCCAGCTAGCACTGAGGAGTCATACATAGCAGGAAGAAATTAGTAATCTCCATAGCACCCACACAGCAGTACCAGCAGTTGTATTCTACTTTAGGGCTAATTCCTAAAACATCCAGACAAGCTTTCTGGGACATTGTCTTGACAAACACGGCAGGGGCCTGTCCTCCAGAGAGACTGCCCAGAGGAAGGACATGGCAGAGGCAGAGGTAGAGGCATACACACAAGAGCCCTGCAAGCCAAAAGAGACCAATTCCTTGCTTTATTGGTCTGAGAAACAGTCTGTTTGGGAAGGTGGCAGTGGGACCACTCTCTTCTCCACCAGCTATTGCTCCCAGTATGACAATACTCTTTCAGGCGGATGGGATTGTCAGTCCACAGTGCTCATGTCTGGAACCTGGATCTGTCGAAAAAAATCTAACTTTCCTTAAAGTCAGTCTACCGTGGCTGGACTTCCCTGAAGTCTCCTCTAATTAAGAGAGCATGGCACGGTCTGCACACTGTATTATCTAATTTTTCAGTCTGCTGCCCCCTCTCCTGTCTCTTTCATTCTTCTAACTGCTGCTGCATGGCATGCTCTGCACACTGTATTAAGTATCTAATTCTTCAGCCTGCTGCCCCCTCTTCTGTCTCTTTCATTCTTCTAACTGCTGCTCTGAGATTGTCCTCAGTCACTCAACTGTGCTGTGCCCCATGCTGTTGGCACAGTTTCCACCCACCCCAGGCTACCTGCTGCTCCAATCTTCCTGCCAGTGCTGCCCAGAGTATATGCCCATTTCCCCACACAACCTATTCTCTTCTTCCCCAATGCTGCTGCCATTTCCTGCTGGCATTTTCAGTGTTCAGGGTTCAATTACTATGCCCGTTACAACCATTGCTTAATACCATTGCTGGCTTCTTTTTACTTTTTAAATACCGCCTTTCTCCTTAAAAGGACCCAAGGCAGCTGGTGTACACTTTTTTTTGGTATGGCAGAATCATTTGGAAGGTGTCACAGGATAAAGGGAAATCCTTTAAAAATGCTTTGCCTGTTTGTGATTTTTGAAAGGGGAAAACAATGGCTATATAGTATTCATACTGACTGTAACAGAATTCTGGATACCTAGAAATTCGAAATTTTTAGAATTCTGAATTCTGAATCCGAAGGGCTGTAATTCCAAATTCTGAATCTGAATGTTAATATTAGTGCATATCCCTGCCAGCCTGTGGATGTATGATGCCTCATGCTTTTACATCCTGCACCTGGCATTACCAGAGGTGGCAATTTTCAGTAATTAAAGGCTTTCTCTTCCCATCCCAGAGCGCCCACAAGTTTAAAACAAAGAAAGGGATTATAGTGGAGCTGTAAGAGCCATGGGAGAAAAGTGGGGAAAGATTTATTTCTGAAAAAATTCCTCCTGTTGATGACCTCATGGCCTTAGATGTGCACAGCGCATGCATAGCTGCATGTCAGCCATCGTGTACCAACATGCACATATTTAGAAAAAGCAAAGAAAGACACAAATCTTAACCAATTAAAAATCCAGATCCTCACCAATGAAAACTGGATGGAACTATCCATTGACTGGATATGGAGGCCGCAAAGGAAGAAGTCTATAGAAACTGACTTTATAGATGTGCACAACCATAATACGTATGTAGGTGTTGCATAGCTCAATAAGTATGTAAATTCCCTTTCGGAAAGTAACTGAAAGGGAACCTCACTAGAAGATCAAGAGTCTGCATCATTTTGTTGCTTGAGAAAGGTATGAGAGAAGGTCTGATATTTAACCTCTGTTTGCTCTATGTCATTCCATGGAGTAGCAATATTTATGGCTTTCTGTGCAGTATAACATTCCTTACTTGGATTATCTCTTCCCATTTATGTCTGAAGCTTCAGCATTAAGGAATGTAATGAATGCTTTTGAAAACAGTTCAGTAAGTTACTCTATTTAATGCTCAAAATCAGAGCTGGTGCCAATGGGAAACAATAAATCTCAAAAGTTGTCCCATTCTTTCTACACGCCCATTTCCCTAGCTCTTTCTCCTTTATGCTATCTCAGCCTGCTTCCCCCCGCCCCCCACAAGAAGATAGGCTGCATATGGCGCAAGTGTCATCACACTCATCAACTGAGTTACAGAGTTACTTAGGAGTTTCTTGAGAGTCAGGACACAGCAGCACCTGCCACTTCTTACTTTGTTAGCTGGCACAGTGTTTTCTAAAACTGTCACAACCTTTATCAAGACAGCTAATAATGCCAATGTACTGGGAAGCACTGCCTCATCAGATGAGTAGCGAATACCACTTCTTCCACATTCCGAGTGTTCTCTTCTTTGGATGTGCAGGAATAAAATCTAGAGACCTGAAAAGTAGAGTCGCAATGAATGCCTTTCAGTGAAGTGAAAGAAAACAGCAGGGAACCTATGAGGTTTTGTAAGGAAGTCCAGGAAGAAGACAGGGAGCAGGCTAACGATCCAGAGAAAATGGTTTGGAGCGTTGCTGAGACTAGTACTGTACAAGGTGAAATTGCATGTGGCTCAGACACTGAGTTTGAGGTAAAAAAATAAACTCTAGTTCCTTAGCAATGTCATAATGCTTCATTGCATTATGTGATTGTGGGACACTGCTGTGATGGTTGACAACGGCAACCGAGCATAACAGTCTTTCTAATAATTGTAG